TTGTGAATTTGTTTTTTTTTTTTTTCTGCAAGTGTATTTCCTACGTGGAAAAATATTGTGACATGGAGTCCTTGGTGTTAAAATGGTGATTGCCATGTCAAAAAACCGGTGCCCATCAATTTATTGACACGCCCTATCAGCGTCATTTGGCCGGAATGTTATTTCGAGACACAATTGCAAAAATTAATAAAGGTTTGATTATTTTGCCAAATTAAAAATGTGGAGTTTTATTTGCTGTTTAAGCAAAGGTCATGATTTTTTCTTGCAATTAACCCTTTATTTTATCATTCTTTCAGAATTGCATTGTTTTAAGTTTATTAGTCATTTATGAATGATTTGTGTGGTTTAATTTTAAATCATTTATGCATGATTTAATTTTAAATTATTTATGCATGATTTAATTTTAAATGTTGTAATTTTACCAAAAAATATTTAAAAAATCTAGTAAATATTTAAAAGGGCATATTTTTTCTCCTTAGGGTCATTTACATTCGAAATGAATTTATTTAGCTTCAACTGTTTAGTTTGAACTCGGGTAAACCTATACGTTAGATGCGTCCTCAGTTTGAACTCATTAGGGTAAACCTATTAGGTTAGACATGTTGATCTGCCAACTTGATTTTACTAATGTAAATAAGATACAATATTTATATTAGTTTTTTTTATAAAAATACACATTATACTTATTTTCGTTCATTATAAAATATTCAATTATTTATTTTATTTTAATTTTTGTACCATTTCAAGTTTGGTTATTTTGCGATTATTTTTAAGAAAACATATAATAGAATTGTTCACTATTTAAAATCAAAGAGAATGATTATTAGGAAAGTGATTAAAAAATACTTTTATCTTGTCATGAGATTTTAAGGAAAGACTAATGGTGTTTTTTGTTTCTTGATCAACACTGAACATAAACACTTGGGAGTTTATGAATCATCATCAAGTTGAATACCCGATATTTTCATCGTCTCACCATTGCACGAAACATAAGCAAGTCAAAGTAGTTTCTACAGAACTTGAAGAATATTTAGTTGTTGAATGTAGACATCAGTACTTAAAGCTACATAATAAGACTTCAGGCCAATCGCTCAACAATCTGGAAGGAAGGCCAGCTGACATGCGCTGGATCCTCGCTCAAACAATGAAATTCTTTTAAGCGCTTGGAATTTGGTTTCTAGATCATTGCATCCATAAGGTGAGCTAAATATTTCCATCCTCTCCAATACTCGAGAATTCCTCAAAAGATATCTTACCATGTCAAATTCATTCTCGTTGTACCACATCGACTTAAATATTATAGTTCTTAGACATGATAATAGGCATTTAGGTACTTGTTTAGGCTCGGGACACAAATATCCCTTTTCCAAATAAACCTGCCGACACTAAAAGGAGAATAACAAAATGAGAAACAAATAAAGGAGCTATTGCAATAAGAAAAACGAGAAACAAAAATTTAATTGCATCAACGATATAAACTCCACTTACAATAAGGACTTGAAGATTATCAGCAACTTTAAGGAACTTTACAAGCAAACTCCATTTGAAGTTCAATCGGAGTTCAAGTTTGGTTAAATTATCAAACTTCACATTTGAACGAGTAAGTCCTCTACGAATAAACTGAAAAAATTAACACCACATTAGGCATATATATAAGAACAAAGACGAAAACTAATTGACACGAGGACTAAGAGATCGAGGAACGAAAACATACCTCGTCAAATTCCCAACCTGATATCTTTAGGCACTTTACATAAGACAGAGAACGAAGAAACTTCACCACCTTGGAAGTGGAATTGTAATCCGTTTGGTATTTTGAGAACCAAGTTTCTAACTTGATATCCGCCTCAACTAAGGAGATCATGGTTATAGGAATTTTTATACACCCCAAGTCATAGGCATCCAATTGGAGATACCTAAGGGACGGGGAATTTATTATCACCCTATATCTACGACCACCAAAGATAGGAATGAGGTGAAGCATCTTTATCGTGGGTGATGATATGTTTATGCAGCCCACATAATCATCTTTCCACACAAAATTGAATTCCATAATCAACTCCTCGAGCGACGGACAGCCAGAAAGAAAGCGAGGAAGCGCATCATCATTCTCACACACAACATTATAAACATAAAACTTCTTGAGGCTAGGCAGAGAGACATTGTCCATAGCAGAGAGTGACACTATACTATAACCAAGCTTCAAGTCTACAATGGTTTTGCAGTTGAAGAGGGATCGAGGGATTGCATCGAATTTAAGATAAAGATAAATATTCCGGATACCACGGTCGAAGGCGGTTGTAATCAATGTCTCCAGTTGATACTCGTTGAGTTTGACGCGATCGAGATGCAGAGAGGGTACATTGGCCCATAGAAACCTCCATCTTTTTCCGAGAATGCTGGACGCCACTGAGAGCTTTGTCGGGAGGAAAGAGAGAATGTGGAATATGACGTCATCCGGCAAGCTGCTGAGCAGATCGATTGACGTCATCCGAATTTTTCACAACTGCAAATTCAGAAGGTACCATGATTCAGACTGGAAAAAGTTGAGAAATACAATTAACAGTACAACATATATTTAGCAGCTAATGTAGCTAAGAAGTCGAGAAGGGCAAGTGAGAAAAACCTGAAACCTGAAGCCTATAAGCACGGAGACTTGCAATTCCTACCGCCACACGAGATACATACAGTCCGTCAATGTAAGATAGTGTTGGATTGATTAAAAGTAAATTAACTTTAGAAGCTACGCAAATTCAATGGTCATAATATCCCAGGAGGACACTGGTCGGGAATTGGCCGGAGTTGAGGAGTCGATTTGTTCGGGAAAGACGACGATGTGATGTGGAAGTAGATTTTAGGGCTGAAGGAGACACGTCTATTATCAACTGATTCTGTTGATGCTATTGGGCATCGAGGTGTAATTACTTATTTATTACGTGAATTGGGCCAATTAGTTTAGACTAGTTTGTAGCAACAAATAATATGTAGCCCAATAATTATTTAAGATTATTGTTTAGGATAAACTGGCGTCTTTCCCTACTTCATTTATTTGTCGGCAATTCATTGTACTTCTTTATTTATTTTATTTTTACTTGTAAATACACTAACTCTCATGACTATGAATTTAATTTATCACTCTTTCAGAATTGCATTGTTTTAAGTTTATTAGTTATTTATGAATGATTTGTGTGGTTTACCTTTAAATTAATTTATGCATGATGTAATTTTAAATGTTGTAATTTTATCAAAAAAAAAAATAATAATAAATTAAAAGTTTCTAGTAAATATTTAAAAGGGCATATTTGTTTCTCCTTAGGGTCATTTACATTGGAAATGAATTTATTTAATTTCAACTGTTTAGTTTGAACTCATTAGGGTAAACCTATAGGCTAGATGTGTTGCTCTTTGAACTTATTAGGGTAAACCTATAGGTTAGACATGTTGCTCTGCCAACTTGATTTTACTAATGTAAATAAGATACAACTAGTACAGAGCCCGTGCGATGCACGGGGTGCACAATTTTAAGGCTATTTATCTAGGCTTATATATACATGAATAAAGAAAAATGTACGGGATATATATAGTACGTGACCCGTGCGAAGCACGGGATATATGTATTTGGAGGATAAGTACGTAACCCGTGCGATGCACGGGATGTAAAATTTGGAAGAATAATATAACCTTACGTGCATTAGGATCGAAATTGAAATCGTTAAAATACATAGGAACATTGTTGAATCATAAAAAGTTCGGTAATAATCATATATTATTAAAAACCTCCTTGTACACAACATTATGAGTTTGATTATTTGGTAACTCCTCATTATCACAAACTAATATTATCAAAAGAGACAAATCCTAAAAATCAAACTAATATTTTTGGTGAACAAACTAATATTTTAGGATTGGTGAACAAACTAATATTTTAGGATTTCTAAGATTTGTATCTTTTTAGTGAACAAACTAATATTTTAGGATTGGTTATATGAATAAGGCTACATGTTGTTGGTTTTCTTTTCATTCATTTTCATTCAAACAATCTGATGACTTGTATAATAAAATCTGAATCTTAAGCCGAAATATTTAAGAAAAGAGTTTTTAAAAATTGAAAAGTCAAGGCAATCAGTTCAGATTAATTAAAGGTCAAAGAATATCCGCTCCTTGAAATAAAGACGTGTGTTATCATTAACCAAATATCCGGTTATTGATATAGAGCGGTTACCAAAAAATAGAACGCGATAAGGATGCTTCATGGAAATATCAATGGGATAAGGTCATAACAAATCGCTATACATTTTCACGATAAAAGCTCAGATGGAATGATTTATGATAATTATGTCGTAATTAATGAATTAATTAGATGTGTGAAAAAGACATAATTAATGAGAAGTGTGAAAAGGACATAATTAATGAGAAGCGTGAAAAGGACAAAAACTTACCAGTTTTGGAAAATATTTAATGCAAATCCGACATTGACCATAATTTGACCTACTATTTTGGATAAATGTTAATTCTTATTATATAAGTATAGATATATATATTTGAAAAAAATACAAATTATACTTATTTTCGTTCATTATAAAATATTCCATTATTTATTTTATTTTAATTTTTTACCATTTCAAGTTTGGTTAATTTGCTATTATTTTTAAAACATATAATAGAATTGCTCATTATTTAAAAACAAAGAGAATGATTATTAGGAAAGTGATTAAAAATACTTGTATCTTGTCACATATATTGAAGCCTCAAAACGTGCCAATAAATATATACATTGAAGCTTAAAATCAAGACAAAATTAGTTGAGATTTTTTCAATCAAATTTTCTGGTACTTGCTGGTAATTGAGCAACTGCTACTGCAACTAGGTGGGTACTAAAACAGTAAAAAACTTGAGCAATACTGAACATAACACCGGCAAGCCAATATTTCAACTAACTGGAAGGAAAGCAAGCTGGCAGGCGTTGGATCCTCGCTCTAATAACGCAATTCTCTGAAGCTCTTGTAATTTCGTTTCCAGATCAATATATCTATAATATGAGTTATATATTTCCATCCTCTCCAATACTCGAGAATTCCTCAAGAAATATCTTACCATGTTGAATTGATGCTCGTTGATAGGCATCCACTTAATTGTTATAGTTCTTAGACATGATAATAGACATTTAGGCACTTGTTCGGAATCCGGAAACAAATATCCCTTTTCAGAATCAACGTGCTGACACTAAAAGAGGCATAACAAAATGAGTAAAACAAAAGAAGGAGCTATTGTTGTAAGAAAAACGAGAACAACAAAAAACAAATTTAATTGCATCAACGATAAACTCCACTTACAATAAGGACTTCAATATTGTCAGCAATTGCAAGGAACTTTACGAGCAAACTCCATTTGACGTTCGATTGGAGTTCAAGTTTGGTTAAATTATCAAACTTTACAGTTGAACAAGCAACTCCTCTATGAGCAAACTGAAAATATTAAAACCACATTACGCATACATGTAACCACAAAGCTGAAAACTAATTGACAGGAGACGCAAGTAATTGAAGAATCAAAAACATACCCCCTTAAGTTCCCAACCTGATAGCACTAGATGCTTTACATAACACAGAGAATGAAGAAACTTCATCACAGTGGTATTGTAATTTAGTAAGTCGATATCCGCTTCAACTAAGGAGATCATGGTTGTAGGAATTGTTATACACTCCAAGACATCGCCATCCAGTTCGAGATACCTAAGCGCCGGAGCATTTATTGTCATCCTATAAGGCAAATCGAAAAGATCGAGCTTAAGCTTCTTTATCGTGGGTGATGATATATTTATGCAGCCGACAAAATCATTATCAAATGGTCCCTCTTCCTCAGATATGACTGCCATATTCAACTCCTCGAGCGATGGACAGCCGGAAAGAAAGTGAGGGAGGGCTTCATCATTCTCGCACACAACATTATAAACATAAAACTTCTTGAGGCTAGGCAGAGAGACATTGTCCAGAGCAGAAATCGACACTCTACTCACACAAAGTATCAAGTCGACAATGGTTTTGCAGTTGAAGAGGGATCGAGGGACTGTAACGAATTTAACTTTAAGATAGAGATTTCGGATACTACGCTCGATGGCGGTTGTAATCAATGTCTCCAGTTGATGCTCGTTGCATTTGATGCGATAGAGTGCTAAAGTATCCATTCTTTTTGCCTTGTGCCGTGATATAACCGTGTGGATGATGTCCGAGGCTTGTGTTCCTTCTTCCTTGAAATCGCATCCACTGAAATCAAAACAGGTACATGAGCCCATAGAAACCTCCATCTTTTCCCAAGAATGCTAGACGCTACTGAGTCCTTTGTCTCGAGAAAAGAGAGAATGTGGCATATGACGTCCTCCGGCAAGCTGCTCAGCCTATCGATCGAGGCCATGTTTTGCTCTCTATCCGAAAGCTTTTGGCAGTTTAAACTTGATTGTCTGGTTTCCTCCATGAAAATTCTGACAAAGGGCACCTGATTTTCACAACTGCAAACAAAGACAGTAGCATTCAGAGGGTACCATGATTCAGATTATTGTCTGATGGGCTGTTTAATTCTAAGTATAATGTGAAGAAGTTGATGTTACAGATCATTTCCATAAAATTTTGTTATATCCATGGATTTTCTCTTGAGAATTTCCACAAACACTTGGCTGGTTATTTAAAAGGCTTTATTTTCATGTGTGCGTGTGTACAGACATATAAGAACAAAAACGAAAACGAATAATCAAAAAGCGGCGGAGAGAACACATAGCGGCCTACCTGTGAACTCTTCTCGCCCTCAATTTAAGGTTGTATTGTATACCACTGTCGAATACTTATAGCTTCTCTTTAGGGTCTGCGTAGAATACACCACTATCGAATCAATTTAAGGGTGTATTGTATTTATTTTAAATAATATCTTAAAACTTTTTAAGAGATGAAATTTTTTAATTTATTTTTTTTATGAATTTATGAAAAGTATATTAGAGATTTTAAGCAAGAAGTGGGTTGGAAAAGGTTAGTTAAAGCCGCCATTAATTGCAAAATTGATGGTAAAGAATAAGAGCAAAAACGAAACTAGAAGTCTAGAACCATTAATTAAGATTTCAAAACATAACTTTTTTTTTTTTTT